ATGAAACACAATACTGGTTCCATTTACAGAAATATAGCATATACAGGGAAATCACACACTTAATTTTGACTTCTTTAAAAATAAATAAACAAATCAAACACACTTGCAAAAGTCACATATTAAACTACAAGTACTGATTCAGAAACCTACTACTTTGAACATATTAACATATTTTGAACTTACAGCTGAAAGACTAAATTTGATGTAAAAATTATAGTACATCTGAAGTTTTGAAGGTTATACCTTTCCACATTTCCCTACATATGCAACATGCAGCAATTCCCATTAGCAATGCTGCAGTGCATAGCCCTGTATTTGAGTTTCCATTAGCAATGCTAACTCAAAGCAGTATCACTCATTGTTAGAAATCTGTAAGTTGATTAAAATTACTTTCAGGGAAAAAAAAAAATTACCATAAATTGTGACAGTTTACGGATCATTTAAAAAAGTTGGCAAACAATCAAAACTGAGGAAAGAATTGCTCAGGTCCCTTGTAGATTTTAAACTAAATCAATTTGAATTTTTATAAAGAGGCTATCTTCAACTACCAATTCTTCCTTAAAAGTAGCCTAGACACTTCACACATGAAAGCATAAAAGCAAAACAACACTGTTTACACAATCCAAATTTCCCAAAACACTACAATTCCTTGTCATACTGGTCCCCCTTTCCATCTTCGCCCTGTTCCCCAACATTGGTTCCAAGTCTCCTTGTCCAGCTAGTCTTACACTTCCCCCTCTCCCAACATATGCATAATGCAGTCAGCACTAGAAGCTATGAAAAGCCAGAGCAAGATACCATCTTCAGAGATTTTTAGCTGACAATGTTTAAGAAGTCTTTACCGACTGCGTGTGCGTGCATGTACAATTTTTCAAAGGCTTATCACTTAGCCAAATTTAAGCAGATGTTATGGGAATAACAAAGGCATATTCCTAATACAAAGACCACTTTATACCAAATTGGAGTTCTTCTTCCAGGTGCTCACCAAGGCATTTCCAAGAAAATAAAGCAAAAAAAAAAATGTTAACGGAGGTAAAAACATGTTCCCTTGTCATCCTAGGACTGTTTTAGCTAGTAATCCCTCTTCCCCGCCCCCCCCCAAAAAAAACCCACAACTGTTCCAGGTGGACACTCATCATGGATACATTTCAGCCAAAGTATTGATAATTTGCTACACTTAAAGCAACAGAAAACTATGTATCCTGGTGGGAAATGTCAAGGTAACTAAATAGCAGGCAGTGCCACCAGCACTGCCTATGACAGTCATTTAAAAATCCAGTTTAGTGGCTATTTTTAAAAAAAAAAAATTATGTTCATAAGTCTCATTTAAATTAACAGACTCAACAAAGATAAATAAAAGAAGAAACCTAATAGTTACTTAGCGGGGCAGTTTGTTTACTTTTTATTTAGAAGAGGGTTTTTTTTTTTCATTTAAACAAATGTGAAAAAACCCAAGTATGTTAAAGCAGTTTGCTGACAGGTTCCAATATAGAAGTATCCCCATCACCTTATGCCACTGCAGAGCAGAGCCATATTTAACGGGAGAAAAAGTAGAGTCAATATATTCCAAACATGCAATCATAACTCATCTCCTGGCGCACAGGAAGTCTGCAGCTTCAACTTGTGTCGATTTCCACAAAAATACAATAATATTGACTAGCACGATCAAGCAACGTGCGCCAACAGCAAGCTTACTCCAGCTCTTAAGCATATGGCTTCTGTTTAAACAGCATATGAATTTCACGTATTGCTAGTGTGATTTCATTTGAAGTTATGATGCTTACGTTAAGTTATCCATCATTACCTAGAGTTTCAGCATTTTGCTTTTATGTCCCAAAACTGCTTTTAAAGTTGACTGGTCCAAGACAGCTTACCATTAAGGGATGCCTGAGATCCCTCCCAACTCTATAATTCTATGATAAGAGAATAGAGGGGAAAGCTATATGGTATCAATCAAACTCAAGTCCTGACACCACAAATCAGTGTAGTTGGAGTTCTACACTAATGGGAAAAAAGTATGCTTGGGTAAAATTTGGGGATGGCTGCTCTGTGATACCATTTTGCCCCTGCACTGCAGGCTGTCACAGGCCCTAGACATGCCTGTTGCTTTAAGAAAGGAGAGGGCTCTGGAAGATGCCGAGTCAGCAGGCAGGAGAGCACCTGACTAGAAAGGGGCAGGGCTTAACCAAGTGATACGCCCAGGGCCAGAGCTTGGGCAGGCAGTCTCACCCTGGCCAAAATTGCCTTTTTTTTTTTTTTTTGGTCAGTGGGTGCTGGCAGGCATTAAACAAATAAAAAAATAAAAATATAAATCATGGCATTTTACCTTTAACACGGCACATTCCCATGACATGCCCAGGAGAGGCAGCATGGTACTTCTACCCGGCTCTACAGCATCTGTAAAGATTAGGCACTTTAGTGGGGCTTTTTTGGCACTTTTATCAATTAGCAGATTGAATCACCTTCAGCTAAAGTGCCAAAAAGCCCCCTGAAGTGGCTATTCTTTATAGACACTGTAAAGCCAGTCTGAAGTCACACACTGCCTCTTCTGGTGAAGTGTTTTTTTTTATTTAGTTTTTAATCTACAAACACCTCCATGGATGCTGAGCACCCACTAATTTTTTTTTTTCAGCAGATGCTTGCGCCTCGGAGCACCCATTGAGTCAGCACCTATGACCCTGGCTGCTGACATGGAAGGAACTCCTAAGCAAGCAGCAGCCACAGGGAGACTCTCCACTCCTAGGGGTAAGAGAAGGTAGCCTTAGAGCTAAGGTCCAGTGGTTTAGGGATTGGGACAAGAGGTGGTGGTGATCTCAACCAACCCAGAAGCAGGGCTGGGGTTCCAGGAGTTAGGACTCGAGGCTGAGTACCAGGGCCAGAGAGCCCGAAGCAGGCCTGAGGCACTGGGTTGCCCAGGAGAGCCAAGCATAGTTAAGGAGCAAAGGATAGGGGTGCCCAGCAGAGCTGCACCGACAGAGATTTTTGCAGCTGACACCAATAGCTGATTTTTAAGGAGGCATATCAGCCGATACCAATCTGATTTCCGATACCCAGCCCGGCAGTGTGGAGAAGTGCCTCCAGCTTATAAGTCTGGTGTGGTGGAAGGGGAAGGGGAGGGGGAGGCGAGAAGGGGAAGGGACTGGGGGGGGCAGATCAAGGTCCCCGTGGTGAGGGAGGGTGTGGGGCTGGGGCAAGTGCTGCCCAGGCGGGGCAGGGCGGGCATGGCAGAGCCATGGTTCATACGGGAGGCACAGGGAAGGGGGGGCTCCCGCCACTACGTGCCACTCGGCCGGGAGCCACTGGTCCAGCACCTCGTTCAGCACACACCTGCTTGTCCAGCGCCTCCCGCTGCTGTTCCTGCCGCTCTTCTGGGAGGGCAGGGAGGGGTACATATCGGTGCACCCCCAGATCTGCACAGGGCAGGACAGGGTGGGCTGGGGCCAGGGCTGAATCAATCTCTTCCCACAGCCCCTTCCCAGGGCAGCTCCACCCCACCAGGAAGAGCTTGGTGGGAGCCGCCAGACCAGCAGCTCCCAGCCAAATGGCGCAAGCCATCCACCCACCTCGCACCCCCTTGACAAGCCGCAGCTCTGTGCCGCATCTGCCCTGCCCCAGCCCCTGCCACAGCCCCACACACTCCCTCACGGGGGGGGGGGGGGCCTTGATCTGCCCCCAGCCCCTTCCCTCCCCTTCCAGCACACCAAACTAACTAGCTGGAGGCAGCTCTCCACACTGCCAGGCTGTGCTGCGGCTGCATGCATGCACGGGCTATTCATCAGCTAAATTATTGGCTTGATATGGTTGATTTCCGATATGGTAAATTTTCTTTATAAAAATCGGTGCTAATCCAATATCAGACCAATACATCGGTGCACCACAAGGTGCCCAGGTAACCGATTTAACCGATGTAACATAGGGACCCAGGGCACTGGGATACCCCTGGAGAAAGACACTTACTGGATAGGACACAGCATAATCAGTAATGTGCGAGGCACAGGCGTGGTATAAGGGGTAGCTGAAGCAACAAGGGCAGAGCAGGGGCCAAGTGGCTACTGGGGGGGCGGGAGTTGTTATGGCCATCCCTGGGATCAGTGCCTGCTACACAGGCTTACTTTCAGCAGAACTGAATGCTGACCATATATGACAAATATGCATGCTACTTTCCATGTAAACACACGCACAAATATGCCCATGGAACAGACTTGGAGAAATAAACTTCCAAGGAGTACTCACAGAAGCAACAGTTAAGAAGCTTCACCACTCTCAGGATATACTGAAATCTAATTATTTTATTTTATAATCTAATTAAGACTGACAGCAGGGGTTGGGTGTTCTTTATTGTTCAAAATCAACAATTTAAAAGCACTAGCACCACAGAGAATGGGCTTTTTCATTTTGAAGATGAGAGTTTAGCTGCAACTTATCTAGCCTTAGTTTAATTGTCATAAGCTCACCCTGTTCCCCAGAAACATGGGTTTTTCCCATCCTTATTTTTCCTGCCATTATGCACGTATTTTTATGTTTAATTTATTCCCATAAGAAGCCATTCTCTGAGGGGGAAGGAAGAAGAGAGATGGGGAGTTGCACTAATGCACAGCACTACAAATGCCCCTCCAAGTTTCCCTATATATCTCACTGAAGGTACTGGTAAACTACTTAGCTAGCCATTTGTTGCTTTTTACTAACTTGGCACCATATCCTTTCACTCACCCTGGCAACTGCTACCCTCTTATGAAATATCAATTCTGAATCATAATGCAACTTTATAAGGACACATAAAAAGACAGAAAAATAAAAGAGAATTAAGTTTGCTTGCTAAAACAATGTGCTCTATTTGCCTAAATACCCAGCTAGCTATACACTATATCAAAGAACATCCCCAAAGAGCAGATTACTGCTTCTGTGAAATGAGCTGTAATGCCAACTTAGTTGGAATACAATCAGCACAATGAACAACAAAGCATTATCACAGCACAGTCTCAAAGAAAAAAATAATTCACCTGCACCAGTGCCTCCTTCATAGCAGTCCAATTTGAAACTCTCCATGCACATTCTAAAACTAAATAGGGATTTATATGGCCCTTTGACTGGCCATACTCTGTTAAAGGTTCCCACTGGTTCAACTCCTTCGAACAGCTACAAAAAAAAAAAAAAAAAAAAAAAAAAAAA